GGTATGAGGTTTTTTGGGTTTTGTTTTGTTTTGTTTTTTTTTTTTTGCCTGCACATATGATTGTGCAGCATGTGCATGTCTGGTGTCTGCAGAGGCCAGAAAAGGACACTGGATTCCATGTAACTGAAGTTTCCAGTGGTTGGTTGTGAACTAGCAGGTGGATGCTGGGAATGGCACTCAGGTCCCCTGGAAGAGCAGCCAGTACTCTCAACTTCAGAGTCCTCGCTCCAGCCCCAGCTGTGTTTGTCTTGTTTTGTTAGCTTCTCTTTGTGTTTGTGGGTTGTTGTCTTAGTTCTCTACTGTTCTGTTTTAAATACAAAGTCTTATAGATATCTTACAACCAGAAAATCAAAGCTGGCCTCAACGGAGTATGTAGCCAAGGATGACATTAAACAACATTTTTTTCATGAGAATTTTATGTGTCAACTGGGGATAGCCACCACACAATCATTTGTTTTCTGCCTTTTGATCAGGGAAGGTTTTCTTGTAACAGTCTCAGTGCAGCTAAATCCTGGTGAAGGATGTACAGGATCTGGCTGGGAGGAGAGCTCTGAGGCCAAGTGTAGACCTTGTACCACCATGTAGTGTGTAAGCTGCCAGTCTAGAACCCAGGGCTTCTTGGATGCCAGGCAGGCATGCTTAGTAACTGAGCTACATCTCCAGCCTCTTGTTCACTTATTTTACAAATGTAAATACAGGCAATGTAAGGAACTGCTTTAAATAATAGAAAAATAAAGACTGGCCCTTACAACTGAGTCATTGCCTTCTAGAAGCTTGTTCTCATCAAAGGTACAAAGAAGTAAACATGGAGAAAATGAAGCTCAGCACCCTCTTGGCCTCAGAACACCCACACACATCAATAAAAATAAACGGTTTTTTAAAAATTAGAACTAATAAATAAATATTTAAAAAAAATAAAAAATAAAAAAAAAATAAAAATTAGAACTGACTGTGGTGACACACACCTTTAATCCTAGCAAAGACTAGGATTTTGAGTTAAAGACCAGCCTGGTCTATATAAATTGAAATCCTTGCCAGCCAAGGCTATCTAGTGAGAGATCTTGTCTCAAAAATAAATAAATGAAGCTGGGCAGTGGTGGCACATGCCTTTAATCCCAGCACTCAGGAGACAGAGGCAGGGGGATCTCTGTGAGTTCAAGGCTAGCCTGGTCTACAGAGTGAGTCCCAGAACAGCCAGGACTGATATACAGAGAAACCTTGTCTCAAAAACTCAAAATAAATAAGTAAGCAAATAAATAGATAATAAACTGTTTCAAATTGGGCAGTCCAACAGGACAGCTCATGGGTAAAGATGCTTGCCGCCAAGTCTGAAGGAGCTTTATTCAACGCCTGAGTTCCATGTGTTGGACGAAGAAAAGATTTCTAAAAAGTTACCTCTGATCTCCGCAAGTATGCCATGGCACATGGAAAATATACATGCATACATAAACACTCACAAAATAAATGTAAAAAATAAAACGTGCCAGTGTTTGGCACAGTGCACCACACTGTTAATGACCAGAAAAGGAGGGAGACTGCCTGATACCCACAACACACAGGCAGTTCAGTAACTGAAGAGGCTAGAAGTTGGTGGACACGAGCTAAGAGTGCCTGTGTTGTGCTGAAAGGTGGAGGTCTGGTCCCGTCAGGTCTGAATCGGATAACTAAGGTGTGGGCCAGTTAGGCACAGAGCAGTATGGTGAGGTAGGAAGACTGGCCAAGGTAGGTCCAGTTATGGTAGGACGTGGACCTCTCCTTCCTTCTCCTTACTGTTTACTCCTGGGCCTTCACCTAATGCTGCCGTGTGTCTTTCATGTTCTGCATTTCTTGTCCCTATCCAGGTGCTGACCCCCTAGTAGAGCAGGTACGAGTCCTGGGCCTACTACATGAAGATCTTCATGGTCCTGGCCCCATAGGAGCGCTGAGCACCCTTGCTCACACAGAGGTGACTCTGAGTGGTAAAATGGACCAGACTTCAGCCTCCATCCTCTGTCGAAGGCCCCAACAACGTGCAGCTTACCAGGTCCGGGAGACAACACAGAACACTGGAGATCAGGATCAGCACTAAGGACCAGTGTCTTAGTCAGGGTTACTAATGCTGCTAGTAAAACCATGACCAAAAGCAAGTTGAGGAAAGGGTTTATTTGGCTTACACTTCCATGTTGTAGTCCAGCACTGAAGGAAGCCAGGCCAGCAACTCAAAACAGGGCAAAGCTACTGGGGGCAGAAGCTGATGCAGAGACTATGGAAAAGAGCTGCTTACTGGCTTGCTCATCATGGCTTGCTCAGCCTGCTTATAACATGCAGAACCAGCAGCCCACAAGGGACTCCCCACCCACAGCGAGCTGGGCCCTCCCCTGTCAATCATTAATTAAGAAAATACCCCACAGCTGGGTCAAACAGGAGTTTTCTCAATGGAGGTTCCCTCCTTTCAGGTGACTCTAGCTTATATCAAGTTGACATAAAACTAGCCAGGTCGGGCAACATGATGGGAAGAGCAATAAAAACTGATGTTCAGGGGGCTGGAGAGATGGCTCAGTGGTTAAGAGCATTGGATGCTCTTCCAGAGGACCCAGGTTCAATTCCCAGCACCCACATCACAGCTTACAACTTCTTCAGTTCCAATTTCAAGGGGATCTAACACCCTCACACAGACATGCAAGCAGGTAAAATGCACATAAAAACTGATGTTCACTTGGGAGGTAGAGGCAGGAAAATCAGGAGTTAAAGGGTCCCTCGTAAGCTTGGGTCCACCTGGGCTATGTGATACATGAGATTCTGTTGGTGGAGGCAGGGAACCTGATCCAAATACTTCCGTGTTGTTGATTTGTTTCATTTTTTTAAGGCAAGGTCTCGGGGGCTGGAGAGATGGCTCAGTGGTTAAGAGCATTGCCTGCTCTTCCAAAGGTCCTGAGTTCAATTCCCAGCAACCATATGGTGGCTCACAACCATCTGTAATGAGGTCTGGTGCCCTCTTCTAGCCTGCAGACATATACACAGACAATATTGTATACATAATAAATAAATTTTTAAAAAAAAAAAAAAAAAAGGCAAGGTCTCACAGTATAGCCCTGGCTAGCCTGAAACTTGATTTTATCTTATTTTATTTTTTTAAAGACTAGGCTAACTTTGAACCTACAGAGCTACACCTGCCTCTGCCTCCCAAGTTCTGAGATTAAAGACATGTACCACCATGCCTAGCATCCCGTGTTTATATTTTGTGGTGCTTGGAGGATCAAACCTAGGTCCTTAAACGTGTTTAGGACACACACTGCAATTGAGCTGTGCGGCTGGTCCCATCCCTGCGTTTTCTGTCATTTACCTCATTGAGTATTCACAGCTGTCCTATGAAGGAATTGCTTACCCTTGTTTTTAGACTGGAAAATAAAATGCAGGCGTGTTAAAATTTAAGTCACTTACCTACATAATAAACAGCAAGTGAAATACCTAGGATTTGAACTCCGGGTTGCTTCAGCTCAAGAATCTATTAACTAGCCAGACATAGCGGCACACACCTTAAATCCCAGCACAGAGGCAGTCGGATCTCTTGAGTTGGAGGCGCAGCTGGTCTAATAGTGAGTTCCAGGACAACCAGGGCTGGAGAGATCCTGTCTCCAAAAATTAAAGAGCCCGTTAACTTAGCCAATTAAGGAGGCTGTCTTTTTCGAGACAGGGTTTCTATGTAGCTTTGGAGCCTGTCCTGGAGCTAGCTCCTGTAAACCAGGCTGGCCTTGGGCTCACAGAGCTCCTCCTGCCTCTGCCTAAAGGAGGCCGACTTAGAGCAAATAAATGATGGCTGTTTTTCTCCCCTAGACTTGGTGGTTCTCCATCCTTCCTGACTTCAGCCTGGATCTCCATGAGCGGCTTCCCCTCCATTCCAAGCTACTCTCCAGTCACACAACTCAGGTAAATGAAAGTAGCAGAGCCAGAACAAGGTGTGAGCTTGCAGTCTGGCAAAAAGAAAATAAAGCTAGAGATGTTAACCAGGCAATGGCAGTGCCCATTTCTAACCCCTTACTGACATACATGCCAGCCAACACCAGTGAACATAAAATACAAATAAAAATCACAAAGGAGCCAGGCAGTGGTGGCTCACACCTTAAATCCCAGCACTCAGGAGGCAGAGGCAAGCAGAGCTCTGTGAGTTCGAGGCCAGCCTGATCTACAGAGCGAGTTCCAGGACAGCTAGGCTACACAGGAAAACCGTATCTTGAAAAACCAAAATAACAAACGAATGAATGAGGGGGGCAGACAGTAGAAGCAAGCAGATGGAGGTCAAGGCCAGCCTGGTCTACAGAACTAGTTCTAGGATAGCCAGAGTTACACAGAGAAACTCTGTCTTGGGGGGGGGGGGGGAGAACCTAGATATGTTGGGAGTCTGGAGTTGGAAAGTAGGACTGACCAGCCACAGCGCTTGTTCTTACAGGTGGATCCCACGACTCATTTGACCTTTAACCTTCACTTATCCGAAAAAGAAAGAGAAGCCAGAGACAGCCTCACTCTGCCTTTCCAGTTCAGCTCTGAAAAGTAAGATTGGGCTGGGACGTTAGCGTCTGGATCACAGGAAGGTGGGGTGATGGCAGGTTATTGATTAACCTCAAGATTTTATAGGGGCTGAAGTCCGCCTCCAGAGACAAATCCAGGGAGTGGTTCTACCCACCTAGACACAATTCCCACCATGATACTTCTTTCCAGGAGAGCTATGGTCCTGGCTGAGCCAGACCAGATGGGGAGGTGGCCCTCTTCTCCAGGTAGCAGTGCCCAAACTGTAACGTACATGGGTGTGGCGAGGGCTGGTTCACAAGGGCTTAGGAAGTACCTCTTGCTCTCAGCCTGGTGTGTGTGTGCATGTAAAGCAAGACAAGGATCTTTGCCTTCCAGCTCTAAGGCCAGGGGTTTGTTAGAGCAGTCCCTATTCCAGGACCTAGTGGGACTTCAGCTCTGATTACTCTTGGAACAAGACCCTGTCACCTAGAAGGAACTCTCCAGACTTGACTCATCACCACCCTCATCTTTGCTTCTTCCTTCCTCAGACAGCAAGCACTGCTGCGTTCTGGCCCAGGCCAGAAAACTAGCCACATCTTCTATGAGCCAGAAGCTTTCGATGATGTGGACCAAGAAGACCCAGATGATGACCTAGACATCTAACTAGACAGGAGAGGACTGTGGCTCAGAACCATCCTGTTGTGTGCAGAGACTGGTCCCTGCCCTCCCTCTGTTGGTTGTGGAGGCCCTGTCCTGTAAACCAAGGAGTAGCGTCTAATTGGGGCAGAAAGTGTAGTGAGAGTGTCGTGTATAGCACGAGAACAAGAAACCTCCCTCTTCCCATGCCTGTTTCTAATAAACCAGATGTGTGTGTGTGTGTATTAATCTAAAATGCCCCTTGGTAACTACTTGGTAGGTGTTGGGGTTGGGCTGGTGTGATGGTTCTGCAGGTAAAGGTCCTTGCCACAAGCTTGATGACCTGAGTTCAATCCCGGGAACCCACAGAAAGGTAGGAGAGACCCTGCTCCACACAGCTGTCCTGACCTATATACATGCACATGTAGCATTTGAACACACGGGATAATGGTCAATGGAAAAATTGTAAAGTTGGGGAGAATAGGTAAGAACCTGAGTCAAGGCATTAGGCCTAACAAAATAGGGGCACCGCTGGTACTCGGTTCTGCTGCTACTGTGGGTACACTTTAGTGCCAAGTCCTGTGTAGGGATCTGGGTGTGCAGAAAGGAGGCCTGAAGAGACGCCTAATTTCCAAAACTTAATTTTTATTACTGTACAAAAAGCACGCCCACCCCATGTTTCGTGTCTTTTCCCAGTCCCTCCCCTAACTGCCCCCCCCCCCAGGAACTGTACATGGTGTCCAGGGCTGGAATGATCGGAGGCCTTTGTCCCACACCTTGCCGCAGGCTGAGCACCCCACCTCACACATACTCCTTGGCAGAATTCGACTTAGGGTAGGAGCGGGGTGCACGGTATGCGGTTTTGCTTTCACTGCCAGGACAGGAGCAAGAGAGCAGGGCACCTCCCAGGAGGACCAGAGCAGACCCTGCCCAGCCAATAAAGATGGCAGGCCCAAACTCGTACCTGTGAAGAAGAGAAAGGATTGAGTCAAAACTCGGGCTTCATGTCCTCCTCCCTGTCCCAAGTCCACAGATTTGACTTCCTAGAAGACTTACTTAATATTCACGGGCGTCAAGGGGTTGTAAAAGTCTGAGACAATCTGATGACCAATCCAGGAACATGCTACCAAGGCAGCAAGACCTAGAAAGAGAAGAAAGATTCTAGTATTGAGTGTCCACACCAAGACCTTGGCAATGCTCTCTGGGTGTGAGTGAGCCCTTGGTCCCACCTGCCACGATGAAGACAATGCCTCCAGTCATAGCTATACGGGCCTTCTTCACTTTATCATCTCCCCCACAGCGCGTACACTTCATGCCCATCGTGGCGACAAGCATGGCCAGGAAGCCCAACACCAGGGACACCACCATTAGGGCTCGAGTGGCCTGCAAGGACGCTGCAGAGGAGGAAAGAAGAGGTCAATGCTGGAAATGGCAGGTAGCCTTATGATGGCGCCAACCTAAGTGCTTCACACCGCGCCCACTAACCCCTGGTCTGCAGTGTGCCAGTTGGGCTCCACCGCCAGCCTGGGGCCCCCTCGGTCCACCGCAGGCCTTAGGCAGACAGTTCCCGCCACCGCGGCCGTCCTGCTCCCCGCCCCGCCCCGCGCTCCAGAACCCGCCCGGGGCGCCGAGGTTTCGATGAAACCGCGCCAGGTAGGGGGAAGGGAGAAAGGGGGCAAAAAGGAAGTGCAGGTGGCGGCCAGGTCCCTCGTTTGAGCCACACCGGCCGGCGCGTGTCCTAGCTCCGGCCCCACTATCGAGGCCACCGGGTTTGTGGCTTCAGCTAATCGACCGATAAGATTAGAGGCCACAAGTGCGGTCCTACGTCTAACGAGGGCACGATTCCGCGGCCCTAGGCACCTCGGTCCCGAACCTCCTTTGTCCCAGAAAAAAAGCAGAAGGCAGACCACTGACTGCCCAGGGTGGCGGGTGCCTCTTCCCAAGACTCCCCCGCTTCAAGCGGGGCAGAGGGGCGTGGGCCACGTGCAACTGCCAGGTTCCAAACCCTCTCCCTCCTGGTCCCACCAACTGGGCTCAAGGTGTCCACTTCCTCCTCCCTAGCAACCCCGGGGGCCTGACCGTGTGGCCTCGGCCCTGTCCCACACCCAATCCTGCCACCTTGACTCCGGGCACATCGGTCCCGCGGTCTTACCCGGCAGGGCGAGCACCGAGTCGTACATTTTGCAGCTCATCATGCCGGTACTCTGCGTGACGCACTCCATCCAGAGTCCCTTGTACATGGCCTGGGCTGTGATGATGTTGTCGCCCGCGTACGAACTCATCTGCCACTGCGGGATGGCAGTGCTCGCTATCAGGCCCACCCAGCCAAGCATGGCCATTGAAAAGCCCAGAAGTTGCAGGCCCGAATTGGCCATTTCCGTCTCAGAAAAGATGGGACGCTCCGGGAGGGCGACCCTACAGTAAAACAAAATCTGGGAAGCAACACAAGAAAAATTGAATGGAGATTTAAGTCACCCCAAGATAGGGGAGGGGAAAGAAAAAAAATTCTTTTTGGCCGGTTAACTGCAAATCTTGTTAACCGAGGTAAACACAAATCGTCCCCTCCGGTGAAGCGACACTCTCACAGCAGAGGGAACCGGCTTCGCCCGCAGGACTGGTTCCAGACAAAAGGGGCCCCCGAAGGCCAGGCGGTTCCCTCCGGCGTGCTCGGAGACTACCCAAAGAAGTGGAGGGGCCGTTAGGGCGTGGCCCCCAGCAAGTATGCGGGCCCCTGGGCCCCCGGCTGCGGTGCACCGAACGAGCTGGGCGGTGATCGGCAGGTGCGGGCGAACAGGTGCGGCGCACCTGAGTATATGTAGGGCGTCGGGGACGCGCTCCCGCAGGCCACGGGCGCGCGGGAGCTGGGGCGGGACCGGAGGGGCAGTCGAGGGTGACCTGACGTCACTGAAAGGACACTCACCTGAACCGGAAGTCTTGGCCCCCACCCCCCTCCTTGTCCAGGTGAAGAGGAAGAAACCTGAGTGCCAGTGTCACGCCCCTTCGTTTGCCTGGCTCTAACTGCTGATGGGAAGTAGGGGCAGGCTTCGCAGAAGTCCCCGGGGTCGGAGCCTCACCCCTGCAGACTCCAGGCTGCCCCTTCTTTTCCATACAGGTGCGCCTGGGTCGCCGCGGAGCCAGTGCCCACAGACGCCCGTGGAAAGGCTCCGCACTCCCTTTTCCCTGCGGGTTTCGGCGCGGACTGTTTGTCTAGCCCTACTTTCGCCTCCACTCTCAGCTCCTTTGTCTTCAGCCTCCTACCATGTCCTGTGCCATCTTCAGGGGCCCTTACCCATTACAGTAAAACCAGCCCTGCTACCCCCTTCTAGGAATTTCTGCTCCACAGACGTGGTCTAGCAACCCTTGGCTCCACTGCTCAAGCCCTCCACGTAGGCCCTCCACAAGGCCTGGCTCTCCACAGCCCCACATCATGCCTGATCCCTGAAGCCAGTGGTCACAGGACTTTAATACCTGAGCCCGTCAGTGTCTCCTCCAACGTCACGGCAACTTCTGCCTGAAGGAAGAAAACAGAGAGCCTCTCGAGGATGAGGAGTAGCTAGCGGAAGACTGGGGTCAGAGTCTCCGCCACACCCAGCGTTCCCCTCCCCCAGATGTCACTTCAAGTCTACCCTCCACCCTCCTCACTCCTTCCCAGCCACACACTGTCCCTCATTCTGAGCTTCCAGGGACCTGTGTGCCCTTCCACCCTCTCTAGCATCGCGCTCCCCAAGGTGGTCTTTGACTCACCCCTAAAGAGCCCTACCTCAACCTTACACCGCTTCCTACTTTCCCAGACTTTGAGCCCCTCCGTCCTCGCAACGTGTCTTCCCAGTTTCTCATTCTTCCCTTCTGTAATTTCGCCTCCTCCCGACTTTCAGTCTGAGGCTGCGCTCTCCGGACTCTTGGAGTCCAATGACACAGTGTGCCTGTCACTGCCTCCCCTAACTGTTTCTAGTTCTTTCTCCCAGCGTGCCTCTCCAACCACCCCCTACCCCTCTCAGACCTTTACACATCTTTCTTACTCTTGCTATTATTTACTTATTTGCGGCAGGCGGCGGGGAGGTATTGAGACGGGGTTTCTCTGTGTAGCCCTGGCTGTCCTGGGACTCCATCTGTAGACCAGGCTGGCTTAGAACGCAGAGATCCCTGCCTCTGCCTCTCAATCAAGTGCTGGGATTAAAGGTGTGTGTGCGCCAGCACTGCCCGGGTTCTTGCTATTTTTTTTTTCTCAGTCCCTCCACCTCCCCACCTGCTCTTCCCCTACACCTCTCTCTGTTAATCCTCACTCGTTTATGCAATGAACATACTTAAAGGCCCATTTACCTGCTTTTGTATAAAATACAGACCTTTGTGAACTCTTATTTTTGTCTATTTTCTGACCTTTCGGCTTTTGTTTGGTGGGGTGGTTTGTTTTGGGCTTGGGTGGTTGGTTAGTTAATTTCCCAACAGGACCTCACGATATAGACTAGGCTAGTCCTTACCAGAAAGCCGCTGGCTCCGCCTCTGGAATGCTGAGATATAGATGTGAACTTCTCCGTACAGCTGCCATTTTTCTTTCAGGTTGTTTCCCTGATTGGGTGTGGTTGGTGCATGCTTTTGGAAGACTGAGGCAGAACAGTTGGAAGCCAGCCTTCCAGGAGGGGTTGGCTTCCAGCTCTGAAGGTCCGTGTTTCTCATTATCCGCTTGTTTGTATATCCAGCCATCTTTATCACAGCCACACGCCAAGGGCCCCAGCCCGTGTCCCTGCCTCTGCCCTTTCCTAAAGTCACTCCCCAGAGTGCTCTTTCTATCTTGCCATTCTTTTTAAAGCCTCACTCAGTGGGAGGCTTGGGAGATAGCTCAGCGCTGGAGAGAGTTTACTGTTTTTGCAGAGGACCAGAGTTCAGTCTCCACCATCCACATGGTGACTCATGATCCTCTGTTACTCCAGGTCTAGGTGACCCATTGCCTCTTCTTTTTGTTTGTTTGTTTTTGAGACAGGGTTTCTCTGTGTAGCCCTAGCTTAGCTGTCCTGGAACTTGCCATGTAGACCAGGCTAGCCTCCCCAGTGTGCGCCACCGCTCCAGGCAGCGTCATCATCATCATTCTCTTTTTTTAATTTTTTTACTTTTTTTGCTTTTTGAGACAAGGTCTCTCCTTGAAGCCCTGGCTGTCCTGAAACCTGCTATGTAGATCAGGTTGGTCTGGAACTCACAGAACTCCCCCTGCCCCTGGGATTAAAGGAGCTGGTTTTTACTGGGCAGTGGTGGCACATGCCT